TTGACAACAAGCGGTTTATATTTCAATCGCATTTATCAACAATTTTTGATGTGCAAAAGGTCACCAAGCCGAGTGTGTCAAGTCTACGCGAATTCATCGATAGAATTAATGCTAATCTGCGCGCCATGCAATCGCTGGCGACCACCATTCAAATTGCTGATGGAATAATTCTTCACCTAGTAACGTCTAAGCTAGGCGAAAATACGCGAAGCAAATGGGAAGAAGAAGTGGCTGCTAAATTTGATCGAAAGTCAGTACCCACCTTGCAGCTTCCAACATGGAACGATTTGGCAGATTTTCTCGAACGCCGATGCCAAACGTTCAATATCATTGAATCCAATCAATCAAGCTCAAATCGGTCCGCCAGTCACCAAAATCCTACATCGAAACCATATTCATCGAAACAGCTCTCTTTCACCACCACAACTGCGTCGTCGAAATGCCCACATTGTGAAACAAGGCCATATCATAACGCATTCAATTGTGCCAAGTTCATGAAAATGGATCCTCTTGAGCGGTACAATTTGATTAAACGGTTAAAATTATGTCTCAATTGCTTTGGTTTCAACCACTCGTCGAATCAATGCCCATCACTTCGTCGGTGCCAGCACTGTCGTGCGAGCCACCACACTTTGCTGCATCGCACATATGGTAGCAAGGCAGACGACAACAACAAAAGGGAAGATGGGAATGCTGAGAAATCAACAACGCTACAGGCTGGTATCGTTACAGGTGAAGTCATTCTCGCTACAGCTCTAGTTCGTTTATGTAACACTGCGGGAAGCTCTCTCATGGCACGTGTGTTGTTGGACTCAGGTTCTCAGCTCCATTTTGTCACCGAAAGAATTGCACAGCATCTTCGGTTACCGCGCAAAAAGCGCAGCATAGAGGTAACGGGCATTGGATCTACAACAACGAAAACGCAGCAAGTATGCTGTGTTGTACTAAAATCGCGCCATACAGCATTTTCGTCGACTTTGGAAGCGGTTATCATACCAACAATAACTTCGTGTCAACCCAGCAATCGTGTCAGCATTGAGAAATGGAATTTTCCTAACAACATAAAGTTGGCAGATGAACAGTTCTACGAGCCAGCAACGATCGATTGTCTTATTGGAGCAGCGTTGTTTTATGATTTGCTTCTCGTCGGTCAAATCAAGCTGCGCAACAATTCGCCGGTTCTGCAGAAAACTAAACTCGGTTGGATAGTTTCTGGCATCGCTAACTCATCTGCACCAATAGCTTCATCACCAAAAACCTCATCGTTGAATAAATCATCGGCCTATATGGCATTTCTCACCATGTCCGAAGAACCAGTTCTCGATCAGCTGTTGCAAACCTTTTGGGCATTGGAAGAACACCACACCAATTCATCAACGTCAGTTTCGGCAAGCATGTGAAGATCTCTTTGAAACAACCACAACCAGATGTCCAAAAACCAACCAATTCATCGTTCGCTTACCGTTTAAAGAAGACCCCAGCAGCCTAGGGCAATCATATGAAGCTGCTTTCAAAAGGTTGGTATCTCTTGAGTATAAATTTTCTCGCAATCCCGCACTCGTCAACACATATCGTGAATTCATGAACGAATATATTAACATGGGGCATATGACACTGCTTAATAACCCCGAAGAGGCTCGTAATTTTATCCCCCACCACTGCGTCACAAAGGCGGACAGCAGCACCACAAAACTCCGTGTGGTCTTCGATGCGTCGTGCCGAACTTCGAATGGGAAGTCTTTGAACGACATATTGCTCGTCGGTCCGACGCTACAGGACGATATTTTCACAATCCTGCTTCGCTTTAGAGCTTACAAATACGTGTTAATGGCTGACATCGCTAAAATGTACCGCCAGGTACAAATGAACTCAGCTGACTCTCCTTGGCAGTGCATTTTGTGGCGAGAATCACCGAACACTTCTGTGCAAGTGTACAAGCTGCAGACCGTCACATATGGTACAAGCAGCGCACCATATCTCGCCACAAAGGCTCTACAACAGTTGGCAAAGGACGAGGCAAAATCGCTACCAATTGGTTCAGTTGTTACGCTCAGAGATTTTTACGTCGATAATCTCATGACAGGTGGCGCTACCACTGATGAAGTCGTCGAAATTAAACAGCAAGTTGTTGAGTTGCTTAAACATGGGGGCTTTCCCCTACGAAAATTCGCCACTAATGACAATTCCATCATCTCTGACATTCCTCAAGCTGACCGTGAAGAAATCGTACAACTCGGTGACGTAGACTACATTAAAACACTTGGGTTGAAATGGTCACCATCGAGCGATAACTTCGTGTTCAGCTACACCGAATCATCGTCGTCTTCGAAAACAACAAAAAGAGCGATTTTATCCCAAATTGCAAGCTTCTTCGATCCACTTGGATTATTGAACCCTATAATAGTTTCATGCAAAATATTAATGCAGCATCTATGGGCACTGAAACTAGATTGGGATGAAAGTGTCCCACAAGATGTTTACACCCAATGGCAAGATTTTCGTCGGCAGCTATCTCTGGTTCAAAAAATCCAAATTCCAAGGTATGTACTTTTCAACACCGCTACTGAAATTCATGCCTTTGCAGATGCCAGCACGAAGGCTTACGGCGCCTGCATCTACATGGTCACACGCGATTCTAATGGTACGACGTCATCGACTTGAATTGTGCGCTACATTGCTGCTGGCGGAACTGCTAAAATCAATTATTGACATATTTTCACCAAATCCTGAAGCCATTCATTGCTGGTCAGACTCGACCATCGCGCTATCCTGGATCAAGGGAGAGCCGTCGCGTTGGACAGTATTCGTTGCGAACAGAGTAACCAGAATTCAACAATTAACATCACAATTCAAGTGGCACCATGTAACATCAGCCGACAATCCTGCTGACGTCGTTTCAAGAGGAGCATCGGCTCATGACATAATCGCCAATTCTTTATGGTTTCATGGGCCAAAATTTTTACTGTTGCCTCAAGAGCATTGGCCACGTTCATCGTTTGATATACCTTCTGACATACCTGAACAGCGATGTCAACGATTCGCATTGGTTGCAAAGGAACAATATGATATGATCGCCTCTCACAAACACATAACCAACTTCCAAAAATTTCTTCGGATATTTACGTACGTGAGGTGGATCATTCAACGCAAGCGGGGATTGATGATTACATCCGGCGAAATAGAGGCAACGTTAGAAATGGTCTGCAAAAATATTCAGCTATTGTATTTTCGTGACGAGTACCAAAGGATGTTAAAAAATTTACCCCTTCATCGATCGTCAAGGCTTTTACAGCTCGCACCATTTTTGCACAATCAACTAATTCGAGTCGGCGGCAGAATAAAAAATTCTACGTTAGCTTTCAACGCCAAACACCCCATCGTGCTGCCCCATGCTCACCCTTTCATTCACACTCTCATCACTTACTATCATCGGCAACATCTTCATGCAGGCGCTCAAACATTGCAAAATATTCTTCGTGACAAATTTTGGATACTCAACGCAAGAAAGGTCATCAGGCAAGTAATCCACCACTGCATAATTTGTTATCGCCTTCGCCCTGTTGTCACTGAGCAAATAATGGGGGCACTACCTTCGCAACGCATCAGTCCATCACACCCATTTGAGACTACAGGCATTGACTATTGTGGCCCCGTGTTAATGACTCAGAAAATCAGAGGCAGGGCTGCAATAAAAGTGTATATTGCAGTTTTCATCTGTTTTAGCACCAAGGCTATTCACTTAGAGGTAGTGCCTGATTTATCAACGGCAGCATTCATCGCTGCACTTAAACGATTTGTGGCTCGGCGAGGACGATGTCGGCTTATCTACTCCGATAATGCAACTAATTTTCTCGGGACAAGCCGTGAGTTACGACATCTGCTTGAAGCATTCGTTACACAGCAGCACATCAACTCGGTAGAAAACTTTTGCCGTGAAGAAGGAATACTGTGGAAGTTTATCCCACCCCGATCACCACATTTCGGTGGTCTGTGGGAGAGCGCGGTGAAAAATGCAAAACATTATCTACGCCGGTCAATTGGAAACCACATACTCTCATATGATGAACTTCATACAGTAGTATGTCAAGCGGAAGCAATGGTAAATAGTCGCCCGTTGACACCGATATCGTCTGATCCTAACGATCTCCAACCACTCACCCCTGCACACTTTTTGATAG